CATCTGGCGAGCGTGGAGCTCGTTAAAAGCCACCTGACCAATCATTCTGAGCCCGCCCGGTGCTAAAATAATCTGGATTGGCCTATTCTTCCTGTCTAGCCTTCCATCTGTTGCACAAACTTATCTCTGTAAACACAAAACAACATGTTGGTCCCATGAATGTCCACATCGTATGTGGTTGTTGGGTGGGGAGTTGGCCTTCTGTTAATGTGAGTTCTGAGGAAGAGGTCAGATTTTTCTCTGGTTGTGTATTCTTTTTCAAATTCTTATTTCTAGCTCGGATTCGAAGTTGGGTTCTTCCATTCTTATCCTTTACTCTTTTTTATGAATTTTTTTTTTGTTATATTTAGACTAATTTTTAATACTCCATCTTCTCTTCTCTTAAAATCAGTGTATCTTCTCTGGTCACCGGTCTCTTCCAGACAGCCTCCTCGATAATCGATCCTCCACGACGAGCGCCTTCCAGATGAAATTAGTTTTCATTCCAGACCCGGCCCGACATCGTTTCCGGGTTGCTGCCGGAGACCCGCGGAGTCTGGCGACCCGAAATTAGAGAAATTACCAAACGGCCTCATTTCCGAGGACTCGCCGCGCCCGTCTGCTTGACGCCGGGACGACCCGGCCGCCCTCCCCGACAGGCGCAAAAGGACACGAGGAGCCCGCTCATACATCCCGGCTGTACTACCCCAGGGCTTACGGCGCTGCGCCGCACCAGTGCGACTCGCAGTTTTAATTATTATTCTAGTTTAGTTTTTCTTTAATTGTTTTTTCCGTTACAATTGGAGTATGACAAGGCTGATGGCTCTGCCTCCCTGACCTGCACGTCGCTGTACTCGAGGTGGTCTGTTAAATAACATATGAAGGAATGAGCAGATTTTTTCTCCGGTTGTGTTATCAAATTCTAGCGCACTGAGTTGGTTATCTCCTAACCTACCCCCACCTTTTAAATGTGCTATGGACAGAGTTGCAAGTGGCTTCAGGGAGCTGAATTAGAGCCTCTCTAATATGCGGTGCTTTCACGCTCTGCACTCTGTTGTTCTGTTTGTCCATAGCTATGATGGCTTGTCCTCTTTCTCACCTCTGTCTGTACCCTAACATAGGGCAGCGTGTCTTGCTGTCAAAACTTGGTGTGTGCATTTGACTAACATATAACGTATCATTTGTTGTTGTAGTGATCTCACTTTCTGTGATTGAGGCCGTTATCGTGATATATACTGATATTTCTGAGGAGGAGGCTGCGCATCGCTATTGCATTAATGAAGGAGGGAAGCAAGTACGTAATGAACAAAAACCTCTGTGTGTCCTTCAACATAAAAAAAGTGCTTTGGACAGTTTTTTTCACACAATTAAAAAATGTTTTGATCTTTCTTACAACTAGGGCCATCCACCTACGTCATGTCCACTCTCTTTTACCCCATCATCACCTTTCTCCTCCTGGCCATCTGCATCACGCTACTGGGCCGTCACAGCAGTGTATCCTTCTAAACTGTTTGGTGATTTGATGAACTGTTTCCCCCAGAGACTTCTGTGTGTGCAGTCTGCATTAATAATAATGTATAAAAACATGTCACGAAACAGAAAAAAAAAAAGAAAAAAGTGTGCTTTTTTCCCCTTGTGCTTTATGTTTTTAAAAGCAAGAGCAATATGGAAACATCTTGTGTCATTAGACATAGATCTTACATTGTAAAGTCTGGATGCACAAGATGGATTATTGTATGTCAAATGTATAGAAAGTACTAAGAAATATTCCATCTGTGTTGCCCTTAACTAGTTTTCCCTCAGCTTCTTAGCATCATCTGGTAATGCAGTCTACAAGGTCACACCTGCTGACGATAAATGCATGTATGCCAACCTCACATGCAGCCCAAACGTTAGTCCCTCACTCTCTAACGTCCATTTACTGGAAAATCACTGGTGTAACTGTTATTTTTGTTAATGTGTAATATCTCTGCCACTTCTATCTCCGTCAAATATGTCTGGTTCAGACTGTAATCAATCAGAGCAAATGTAATAGCTTCTTATAATTGCCTTCAAGTGAAATCTGATAGCTGGCAGTGAGCTTGAAGAATCAATCTCTGAGGCTCTAATGTAAATAGAGTTAGTCAGTGACGGCTTTGAACAATTTAATTTGACACATGTTATTCATCATCCTGCCTGCTTGGTGTGTGTGGGATATTGTGAGAGTCAACAAAGATGTATGGTTGATGTGGTCACACAAGCTTTAATAAAGGCAGGATTACCTCAAAGAGATACATTCACAGATTATTCAGTAGCATGCAAAACAGAGGAGATACAAAAGTGTATTTGAGTAGTTTGCCTTTTTATGAATTGGATGCAACTGAAACAATAAGGCAAATCACATTATTAAGTTCAAATTGTGTTGCATCTTTTCAGACCTTCAGTGAGACCAATATTACCAAAGTGTGCCCCGGAGCCCAATGCATGTTTGCCTTCTACGGTGGGGAGACCGTGTACCACCGCTACATCCTGGTGCTCCACCTGTGTAACCTGTTCATGTTCCTCTGGCTGGTCAACTTCACCATCGCTCTGGGACAGTGCACCCTGGCCGGGGCCTTCGCGTCCTACTACTGGGCCCTGAAGAAGCCCGACGACATCCCAGTGAGCCCCCTCTACTCCTCCTTCAGCCGAGCCATACGGTACGGAGCTGTTACAGGTCACCTTTGTACATGTCAATTGTCCACTGCTGTAAAAATATTTCTTTACCCCAAACATTTGAATTAGTAACATTTGGGATTCACCTGCTTTAGTTAATAAAACAAAATCAGTCATGTCATTTAAAAAATGAAAATATTCGTTGTGGCCAAACGGCTGTACTACACTTCCGTATCAGTCGCTGGGCCCGGAAATACTTTTTCCCATTGACTAACATTGGGAAAGAGGCGTCTGTAAATCGTTGGATAATTTTTTTTAAACTAAATAAACTATCCAGTATGAACATTTGTATAGCCCTTATTAAAAACATTCGGTCCTCAAGTTGTAAAATGTGCTAATAACGTTATTCTGAGAGTTCTTTTCCTCGGCATTATGAACGCGGATCTAACCCACGGGATCTCCCGGCACGTTCATGTGACGTGTTCAGTACTACATGAGTTTTACCTTTACCCATGGATGCACAATAAGAACGGATTATATGATTATATGAATACTTTCGTGACGTTTCGCTCTCTCAAAAGTTGGGCCATTTTGTCTTCATGCGCCAATGAGCAACTCTCATAGGGATGAACGAGGCCCCGCCTCCCACGCTGTATCCAGTTCTTATTATACATCCATGATTGAAACTACTAAGATTTGAATGGAAATGTCTTTTATACTATTCGGTTTTCTGGTGTCTTAGCTATCACACAGGTTCTCTTGCCTTCGGTTCTCTGATCCTCGCTGTGGTGCAGACGATCCGGATGGTTCTCGAGTATGTGAATACCAAACTGAAAGGTAAGCTGTCTAACTTAAACATACTAACCTTTCTAAAATAATCAAATGTCCATTTCAAATGGGGTGTTGATGATCAATAATGTTTTCCCAGGTTCTGAAAACGCATGTGCTCGATTCCTGCTTTGCTGTCTCCAATGCTGCTTCTGGTGCCTGGAGAACTTCATCAGGTTCATGAACAGAAATGCATACATCATGGTGAGTTAAGAAACACCTGCTTCGGACCGATTTACTGCAAGATTCCATTTAATTTTACACTTGAATAACCTGTAACCTGGCTCAATGTGTTATTACTTCACTTTTGTCTCATCAACAGATAGCAATATATGGAAAGAACTTCTGCACCTCTTCCAAGGATGCTTTCTTCCTTTTGATGAGGAACATTATTCGGTAAGGCCTTTCTTATAGTTCTGTGTAAGATCTATTGTACTGATGAACTGCTGTTGAGACAATCTCCGTTAACATGTCAGACCAAGGAAAAGAAAATATATTTAGATTATAAAACAACAAAAATGGTGTGTATTCACTGTATGTAAGTTAGTGAAACAATCAAGTAATCCGTGTTTCAAGCAGCTGCACATTATTCCTAATTACCCTACTTATCATGTTGTTATTTTGGGTGCACTCTACGTGTCTTTGCATGACATTAACTTGTCTTTTTCTTTGTGTCTGTGTCTCTCCACCACTTTGTTCTCTCTGTGTCCTCTGCAGGGTGGCTGTCCTGGACAAGGTGACAGACTTTCTGCTTTTCTTGGGAAAACTGCTTATTTCAGGAAGTGTTGGTGAGTTGCATGTCACCTGCAGTTTGTGAAGTGACAGACAGTGAGATATTGATAGTTACGTCTGTAACTATGGTTCTATGAGTCCTGGATGACCGCAAGCAGTGTTTTTGCCAGACCAGGGCTGAGAGGGCGTCCACCCCGAGAGCGGGAGGGGGGGTTGCTTGAATTTTGACTTGAGCCGTCCCTTATAGATACTGTCTTTTTACGTTAGTGAGCCGGATCATTTGGCTCGGCTCTCTTAAAGCGCCGGCTGCTTCGGCTCCCAAACGGCTCTTCAGTTTACCACAGTTTACCACAGTTTACCACGGAGCCTCAGCTTCGAGGCTCCGGTGCTCGCAGCTCACGCGCGTGCTCAACTAGCACGGCTCATCGCGTCCAAATCGCGCACGTTCTGTGTTGTCCCGTAGCAGGCACCGCCGATGTCGGGGAAACGATCTTCAATACTCCGAAAATAATCCCACCAGACTCCTTTGCCCCTCCAACAGAGGGATGTCCTTGTCCCGTTTCCTTTTGTTATTTCAAGCGATAAAAACTCTCGATCTTCTCTCAAATTATTAATATTAGGGCAGCCCGAGATGTTGAGATGCTCCTTGTAGAGTGGCATCTCAGCCCTGATGGCAGGGGGCGGCCACTGGCCCCATAGGCATGTGAGATGGCATCGACAACCCAGTGGGACAGCCGCTGTTTAAAGAGAGCACGACCCTTCCTAGTGCCGCCATGGCAAACGAAGAGCTGCTCTGACCGCCGTATACAGGCCGTAGCAGGACCTTCACGCCCTGCGCCTGCAGGGGTGCGAGAGCTGCCGCCATGGCCCTGGTGAATACCCTTGGAGAGAGGGAGAGACCAAAGGGAAGCACCCGGAACTGATAGTGTCGGCCTTGAAAGGCAAACCTCAAGAACTTCTGGTGGTGGGATGCATTTGGCACGTGGAAGTAGGCGTCCCTCAAGTCCACAGTTGCGAACCACTCCCCCTGTGCGACAACACGAAGGGTGTCTGCTGTGGTTAGCATATGGAAGGGCAGTACCTTCAGGAATCTGTTGATTCCTCTGAGCTCCAAGACTGGACGGAATCCACCGACTTTCTTGCTCACAAGAAAGTACGCCGACTAGAACCCCCCGGACTGAAGCAGAGGGTCTACTGGCTTGATTGCGCCCTTGGCCAAGAGGACGGACAACTCTTGGGCCAGAGCTAAGGCTTTCGCCGGATCGCTGGCAACTGTCATTTTGACCCGGCCGAAGGCTAGGGCCCGGAACTGCAGTTCGTGCCCCTGGGTTAAGGTGGAAACCACCTGAGAGTCGGAAGTACAGACAGCCCAGTAACTGGGCTGCTGCTGGGAAAGCAGCCGACGACTGGCCCCGAGACGTCGGGGCCTAGCCCCCTGGCCTCCGGAGCCCCCTGGTAAGGTAAGGCTCTGAGGCTAGAGGCTGCCTAGAAGGCGGGGACCTCTGCAGACCACCACTGTAAGCTGGTGGCTGAGTGTGGCTGCTAGAGGGGCCCCTGGGCCTGCTGGGAGTGGGGAAAGACCTATCAAGACCAGAGAGCTGCTGCCTGGTCCGCCTAGCTTGGGCAACACGCTCCAGTGCCTCCAGTGCAGCTGCCCCAAACAGCTCCCCTGGCTCGACTGGCACACTACGGAGCAGGCCAAACCTGGCGACGAGTCTGCACCTATAAGGACATAACTCGTCCCAATTCCCTAGACATTAGGGCAAAGGCTTGCAGTGATGCATTACTGAGGCCCAGCAAAGAAGGCTCAGCCAGAGCATGCGGCTGAGAGGTAGAGACAGCCAGCATCAGATGGGAGAGGGAATTCCCGTTACGACCCATGCGTGCCGCTGTGTCGTAGGCCTTACAGAGCAGCTCGTCTGTGACCCTGCACTGAGCACCCTGACCCAAGGAACGGTAGGTAGACTCGACGGTGAGCGGAGGTCCAGACCGAGGATAAGCGCGGACTACTCGCGAGGGTTACCGGACTACGGTCCACGGATGTTTCGGACG